CTATTAAAAAAAGAAACACACTCAAATAACAGGTCCATTAGAAATAGTAAAACTTTAATAATTAGGATGTACAAAATACGTACTGTGGGAGCTAGATCATGGCAGTGTGAACATCTAGGGGAATAAAAGTTCACAAACCACAGCTCTCCAGAATTCACAGCAGCATCTAAAAGTACATAAAATCAAAACAAGTTAGAATTATTTAACTAAATGTACACATTTTAGGTAAATTTTGAAATTTCTTTGTTGCTGAAATAAGAATAGAAAAAATAGTTCATGATGAAGTATTGCCAGTTTCCCAAAAATACAGTCTCTTTGAAGGCTTCCTCTTCATTTTCATGACAGATTGGGTTCAACCTCATTCAAGAAGTATTTTCTAACCCTTCATCTTTTCCTCATCTGAATTATTTGGTATTTTTCTTGCATCCCTAACTTTACCCCTATTATAATGGTTACTACATTGAATTCTACATTTAATTTCCACTCCCTTTGTCCTTTTCTGTATAGTTTTTTCTATAAGAAAACTTATTATTTCAACTCTCAAACTAACTGTACCTTAAAAAAAACAAGAGTCTTCTAAGCCCATACTTGAATAAGGAGCAGCCTTGAACTGCAAGATACATGTCACCAAGAAGCTGTGAAAAGAGGCGGCACAAAGAAGAAACAGCCAAACTTCATGTAAGAGTCTGTGTGGCTGAAAGATATGAAGGAGAAAAAGCAAGAGAGATGGAGATTTTTTTATCAGTAGCATGGGTTAAATACATGGTCAGTCAAGTCTGACAGCTACTTCAAATTATAAAAGAATGAAATAAGAGACCTATACAATATAGTAAGGACTATGAGGATTAAATGTAATCTTTGAACTTAAATAAGACATGCACCTTGGAAGAGTGTGTTATTTGATCAACTGAATACATGAACACATTTGCTAAAATAATGGACTCAACACCACTTGTCTAGCCAAACAGTATACATTATATCAGGTAAGATGACCTGATATAAGGAAACCAAATGTGTTCATTTAAAAATTTTAATACTGTTAAGGATGCATTCAACATAAAAAGGTAAAGACAATTTGTTTTTGGTTAAAGTGATTCCATGTAATTCCATATCATAATCAGTTATTTGTAATTTTTAAATAGAATTTTCATACATTATTTTAAGTAAATTATAGCATGACATCAGAATATACATACTATTCTAAATATGTATAACTGATTCAGATTAGAAACATGCACAGGACAAAATGTTCACTTTCTTTCAATTATAAGACACATGGATCTGTGGAAAAAGTTTATTCATACATTTGAGGCAAAGTGTAGGATTTGGATTTTATCACCTGTTCTTTGGCAATGTTTAGAAAGTCTGACAAACAGACCACTCTGTCTAGGTGGCATGTTGACTTAAACCACCAATTGGTAATAATTTAGTAAAATCTTAATAAGCTCAGTGCAAACTTTTAATAGAAGTGGATTATTTCATTAGCTGTAAACAAATAATGTGGTGGACATTTACATATTAAAAGGAAGTTCTAATTAGAAAATAAGAACTTATATAGTTAGTAAGTTTTAAATAGAAATATGATGTACAACAAATTTGAATGGCATTTTACAAAAAACCTTGTTCAGTGAAAAAATGTCTCTTAGTATTTTGTTTTCATAGAGGACTTCTAACGTATTTGCCCAGTTCCCACTGTTGCTGAATGACTAGGGCTAAAATGTCTTTAATACTGTATTTTAGTACTGTATTATCAAAGCTCAATGGGATGTTTTTGCATAACCCAGTGACTCAGAACAGAATGAGCATATTTCAAAATGCAATTTTCAGTTTCTGAATTACCTAACTACATTAATGTCCTTTAGCCTATACTATAGCTAACAGCTTCAGTTGGCCTAGAAAAATGAAAAAATAAGTGGAGGTTACAAAGACAAGAAATAACAGTGATATAAGAGTGAAAAATATATTACTAAGTGGTTAGAAGAAATCTAAATGTACAAGTATAGGCTAGAGAAGGGTGAAGCACACACTGATGAATAACTTTAGTGCTAAGAGCTTTACTTCCTTTAAGAAAAAAAGAGCAGCACAAGCATGGAACTTGAGGTTCAGTCCATGTCCTGCCTTTGGTACTGTGTCAGGCAGGTAAGACTATGCTATGGTAGCAAATGATCCCTATTATCAGTGGCTGGCAATGAAGGTTTATTTCTAGCACACATTACACTTCCATACTGAGTTGGCTGCAACCCTGTTCCACATCATTTCACCACTGAGTCCCGGATGGTGGAACAGGCTCTATTTTGAACTTTCCTAGTTCTCTCATGACAGAAACACATGCTGGCTGTTAAAGCTTCTGCTTAGAAGTGCCATACAGTACTTCTTTCCACATTTCACTGGCCCAAGCAAGTCATGTGGTCATACCTGAGTTCTACAAGGTGGAATATATAACTCTCTGTCACATAGAAGCACCTCAAGGAGAAAACACTGGAGATAGCTGAACATAATGAAATATACCACAGATACCTATTAACTGAATGTAGGTAAGTAATTTAACAGCCTTTTCTCCTGAAATGCAGTTTATAATTTGTGAAAAAAACTAGTAATACCAACACTGAGGATTGTTGTAAGGATTCAACATGATGAATATTAATTGCCTGTAATAGGAAGTGATGTTCACAAATTGTAGTGATGTTTTATTATTCTCTTCCATTTACCTACAAAACATTCTTATAATGTGACCACATATTACTTGACAGAACTTTGTTATACCACAAATACCTATTAACTGAACTTAGGCATGCCTCACACAGAGGCAGCACAACACTTTGACATAACACTTGTGAAATCAATAGCTCCAATGAAATTGCATTATTTTTGACAATTTACATTAAAAAAATTTTTGACACAACTTTTCCTTTTAGAATGAAGCCTGTGGAGAGAAGGCTTATTGATTGATTACTTCACTGTGTTTATTGGGAAATAATTCATTCACTGATGGGAGATTCATGGGAAAAAACTAGAAAATTCAGGATGTTACTTAAATGTAGTTGGTGTGATCATTTCTAATGGTAAAATTTCATCATTCTTTGACTAAGAAAAATGGCACCAAAAATAATCTAAACCAATGGGAAGCAATTCAGTATACACATTACTGAGATTACCCCAACCATAAGGAGCCTATTATTGCACATGGTCCAGCAAATATGGCCCAGAATATCCAGGAAATTCACTCTTGATGGCCTGTGATAGCCACTGTTTTTCAACACTGAATGGGAAGTTCTGCTAGATGCCCTTATCGCTGTGTTAACTGAAGTATATCTGGTTCATAATGATCCAAGTCCTCAAAAAGAATACTTAACTAATCCCCAAAGTAGATATTCCTGATAAACTCTAAATGAACAAAATCCTAGATTTTACTTTTGTTAGGTGGTAGAGATTTATAAATCAAACAAACAAAAAGGCAGATGTGCTTTGAGCTCCTCTTTAACTTCTTGAGCTTATCTTCACAAGGATGCCTGTACTATATGCAGAATGACAAGCAGAATTATGAGATGTTCTCTGCTTTTGCAGACACTATCTAGAGCGTGTTTATAATGACTAACATAATACTTTCCTGTGGCATGTAAAAAGATACTATGCACATGTTTAATGGTAGATGATGATAATTTTGAAACTTTCAAAGTGGAATTTGTTAGTCCCATTTTCTCTTCTGTATTATAGAGCTGAAAAGTCTGAAGTTCACTCCTAATAAAAGTGAACTATGTACACATACACATACAAACACAGAGATGTACTTAGTAACATCTCACAGCATTTCTAATATACAGATGGGGAAAGACTAGATGAGATGACCTTTAAGGACTCTTCCAGCTCTAAAATTCAAAGTCTGTAACCAGGACCTTAATATAATTATGCAAATGTTTTAATACAAACCTCTTACATTTTATTGTCATTATAGTTTTTAACACAGAGTTTTCAGAGAACCTTTTGAAAAGGGTTTCAGAGCTCAAAACCCTGGCCCAAACCACATTTTGAAACTTTTTATTTTTCAGTTCTTTCATTACTACTGAGCTCAAAATTTTGATACTCCTAACTTAATTTTTAAAGGCCCCTTTAATGAGGCTGCAAGCAAAAATAGATAGATACTACCTGGAGGATCCCAAGAAATGTCAAATCTCTAGGCAGGTTATTTCAATCCCCATTTTGTAAGGATTTCTGAAGGTGAAGGCTATGTAAATCTGAATCAAGTGAGAAGATGGCATATGATTGAAGAAGCTCAAAAAAAATCTAGGCAAAGCTTTCTTCCCTAGTGGTGGAGATGAAAAGCCATGTGGATTAGGAAGCTACTATGGAACAGTAGATGGTCCAGTCCCATTCTTCAGTGTACAGTCCAAACCCAGAGAAAAATATGAGGCATCTGGAAAGAATTTATACACAAACCCAGGAAAGAAAGGAACCGGATATGGCTATGCAAATATTACCACTGGTAAATAATTTTCACACTCTCCTGATTTCTATGATGTACCAAAATTAAATTATAAGGAAGAGAATGAAGAACACATTTGTTTACTTAAAGGGACACCTTTCAAGTTAAATCTTTACCCACGGGAATATTTTGATGCCAATCCTTACTTGTCTGAGAAGCCTCTTACCACCAAGTTAGAAAAGAAGAGAATAAAGAATTACTTACACTCTCTTTCAAGCCCTCCTTTCCTGGTAAAAAGGCTGGTGGAATGAAAGCAGGAATATTTGAACCTTACCCTTCACACTCTGCTGACCCTTAGATGGTTAAATTGGCAAAGCAGGTTTCCAGCAAAAGTGTTAAGATTTTCCATCCATCAAATGGACAAAAAAGCAGACCAACTAAAAGTATAATGACTTTGAATGTTGAAAGGACACTAAATATGAAGAACTACAAGACTGCTTCAGTACAGTCCTATTGGCATCTGGAAGACAAGTAGCTTTCTAGATCCCAACTACCAATAATTCATTATCAAGTGCTAATTATTTGAAAAAACATAAGATATTGTGGAACAGACAGCTAACTCAAGCATTTAAAAGAAATTTAAGCCTGAAATTCTAATTCTCTTCCTTATTTTAGTACTTTTATTTAATAAATAGTATTTGTTAGTAAAAAAGAAAAATGAACTACATAACTTAGATGGACTCTCCCATTACAACTGCAAAAACTGGACAAATCATTAAGACTTCTGTTGTTCCTAAGTCTTAAATAGAAATATGACATACAACAAATTTGAAGTGATTTGACATAAAACCTTGTTCACAGTGAAAAAATGTCGCTTAGTACTTTGTTTTCATAGGGGACTTCTAACATATTTGCCCAGTTCCCACTGTTGCTGAATGAGAAAAGGGTTAAAATGTCATTAATACTGTATTTTAATACTGTATTATCAAAGCTATGATTATCAATCACAGAATTACCAACATAATGAATAATAGAGGACAAAGGCATGGGAGGAGGAGGAAATCAGAGAGCCAATGTTTACTGCCTCTAAGAGGAGGTAATTGATAGACAAGAAACTCAGAACTTTCAATAGATTCAAGAGGCTCGAGAAACAAAATGGGCACATCTAAGAAAATATCCTGTAAATAAAGATGAACTGGAAATTAACCAGTCTTCTCAAAGTCCAAAGCTTAGCTTTTGAGTCATTTCAGTCTCTTGCTTGAATAAAGCTATTAGTGACCCTAGCCAAAAGAAAACACAACTCCTCTCTGGAGGAAGAGAACATACATAACTTTAGTTATCTCTATATAATTATTTATGTAGTTATACAAAGACAAGACTAAGTATCCTAAACCAATAGAAACAACTGATAATAGAAAGAGATCCATAACCCTGTAGGCTAATGTGATATTTAGTTAGACAAGTACAGATTGATACTACTATCCACGCTTGCCATTTTCCCTCATCTTCTTCAACTAAAACATCAGGATCAGCTTGTCTTAGCCTAGTAATACAGATAGTACTAGAGATCAGATGGAATGGTGGCAACTATGCATTGAACCTATCATAATTATTTATGAAAAATTATCCCTAAGGTTTTGTGCTATAATTTATTTTTAACTCCTACATAGGGTTCTATATGAATAATCGGCAATTATTAATCTTTTCTCCAGTGACACATCTGAAAAAATATGAACCGTTGTGCAACTTAACCACCAGGAAAGTTTCTCATGCTGGGTGCACTCATGGATTAGTCATCTTGCAGGTTTTGCTCAGTTCCTCCAATTCTAACTCTAATTCCAAAGTTTTCTGCCCCATTGGTCCATAAAGCACTTACTGACAGACTAGGAGATGAGAGGCAGTAATAGTCACACAAGGAAAGCTTTAGGTCCATATATCTATATGCAGTAGTTAAGCTAGAGACATGGGTATCAGTTCCAAAAGAATAAAATTCTCCAAATCCAAAAGAATCAAATTTTCTTTCATTTCTTTTGTAGGGAACATACGTTTTCTATTCAAGAGCTCATGTGAAAGACCATAATAAAGTAATGTACTGAGTAGCTCCTTTTAGGACTGGGCTCACTAACAGGATATAGGAAGTTAAGAATAAATTACAATTTTTGGCTGGAAGGAACTGTTCAAAACCAACTGACTTTAATACATTTTTTATAATAATATATGAGAAACGGTATATAATATATATTTTTGCAGCTAGGATGCTATTTTAGTTTTCTAAATTGAATGAGATTATAATAGAGCAAGATAAAATTGAAATTTGATGTGAGGTAAAACGTGTTGGTCTGTAGTAGAAAAGAAGAATAAATCTATTTTTAGTATACCTGTATGAAGTCTGAAAGTGTAAGAATCTAATACAATATTTAATATTTTCTAAAATGCAATGGAAAATGCAGAACTGTACTTTTATAACCATTTTCACACAAATCATAGATCAAATTAAATCTAGTTCCAAAATAACCACATACTTACCCAAAACACTGAAATCCAAAAGCTATGAAACTGTAAGATTTTTTGAAAGTTTGCAGCAAGCTCACCTGGCATCTGAACTGATACGGGGCTATGTATTATTCTTACTTCTTTAATTTAGTATTCATATTTATGCATTTCTCTGCAGAATCTCCCAAATTTCTAAATTCCAAATACATTTGTTTGTCCTTAAGAGTTTTAGATAAAAAATTGGTTTTGAACTAGTTTTAAAAAATTAATAGGCCCACAAACTTACCAAATTCTCTTCTATCCAATGTTATGATTTCAGGATCATCATCATAAATACCTAATTTTAAAAGTACAAAGAAGTTATAAAAATAAAACATCATAAAAAGCCACATAAAAATAGATTATTTGTTTTAATCAGCAAAAATCAGATTATTGTATTAAGTCTCAAAGTTGAAAAACACACAACAAACTAAGAGATAAGCTAGGAGTAAATAATACTATTGGTGATAAAGCTAAAGATTTAAAGATTAATTCCCTGATGTGGACTGTCATAGGTGTCTGTGTGTAGTTCCTAGTATTCATGCAATTTTCATCTCCACAGTAAATTTCCATTATTGTGTTTTTAAACTTTTTATTATGAACTTATAACTCGTAAGTACTTGTAAAAATAGAACAGACTTCCATATACCTTTCACCCAGCTTCCCCTAATACTAACATGTAATTTGAGTACAATATCAAAACTAAGAAATTGGCACCAATACATAATGGTTAACTAGACTGCAGACTTCACTTCCTTTTCAGATTATGTTTTTCTATAAGTGGTATCACTTTAAATATTTTTACTGCTTAAAGTCTTATGATTTGACTATTTGCAGAAGTAGAGACAAACTTATTTAATAAATATAAATTTTATATATTATAATAATTAAAAACAATGTGAGAAAATTCCTCATTATTATATAAAATATCCAAATAATGTTAGTGATGGATATATACCAGGGGCCAGGGGTCAGCAAACTTTTTCTGTAGAGGCCAGTTAGTATATAATTCAGCCAGAAACATACATGGTTTCTGTCACAACTACTCAACTCTGCCCCTGAAGTATGAAAGGAACTATAGATAATATGCAAATAAATGAGTATAACTTTATTCTAAATAAAACTTTATTTACAAAAATATGTGGCAGACCAGATTTAGTCTGTGATATTCATATAGATTGCTGACAGCTGACAAGATTATCAAGCTGCAGTGAACATACTTAAAAAACTATTCTTAGAAAGTCAGTCTTGACAAATACTCCAGATATCAATTTAAAATATTTTATGTAGTTTAATATAAAAGCATACCTTAGTTCTTAGAATTTGAGGCTAATTAATGAGAAGTATTAGGTAACTCAACACCTCCTTTTGCCTTGGTATCTGTGTTCACTTTGCCTTTCCCTTGCTTTCTTTACCTTGTTTCCTCACTCTACTCTTGCCTTACTTCTATTCCTGTCAACACTTTAAGCCATTTTTAATAAGGGTTCTCATACATACGAGAAGGATGACACTTCTACTGAAGTGACCATCAAAACAGGTTGCTCTAAAAATACTGAAAGGCTTCAATATTTAACTTCTAATGCAAATGTTTTATAATTAAATAGCAATCTTCATTTTAAAGTATGTAACAAGATAAAGATGAAAATAACCTTCATATCTGTGTAGATACTATCTACATGCCATCTGACTATCATTTTGAATTCTTTTCCTGTACATTAAAAAAGAGTCAAGGTGACACATATTGACTACATAAGCCAAGTGGCGAAACAAAATTGATTTTCTAAATTTACTTAAAAAGCAAGAATTTCATAATGAATAAATATATCACCTTACCAAAATCATAACGATAATAATTCCAACTTTCATACTGGCCTCCTTCTTGATTATCTGCAAGTCCCTTTTCTCCATATTTATCATACTTTTTCCGCAGATCTTCATCTTTGAGTACTTCATATGCTCTATTTATTTTTAAAAAGTCACTATGTGCATTTGGGTTATTCTATTAAAAAATATTAGATAGAACAGATGTTTCAGATACACAATCAAATACTTTCAAAATCTATATATGCAGATTTAATTTAATCCTGAGATTTCTGGGAGAACAGATACCAAAATAAGGTGGTATATAATATGCAATAGGTCATCAAGGGTTGAAATCAAAAAGTATTTTTAAAGAATTATAAATCTTTAAACACAAAATAAGAAAAGTAATAGAGAAATGAGAACTGATGCCTCAAAAGCTGAGAGATACGGTCATACAATGTAAGTCATTCCTTCTAATAACATATGTTAAAAAACTAATAAACGCCTGGAAATCCTTAACTTTGTAAATATTGTTACCCCAAAACAGCTACAAAGAAATTTGTAGGTTATTTTTCTATTTGAGGCAAAACCATTTATTAACTAAAAACAGTATGCACCCCAAATCCATCAGATAATCAAGAATTAATCAGAGTAATAATGCAAAACTGGATTGGAAATGTTCCTCTTTTGTTACTACTTTGTTGAATTGGTTTTTGAAGAATGCTTTCATGTAAATAACGCCTAATTGTAGGTCCACCATCTTTCACAAGGAAACTCAAAAAATCATTCTGAAATTTTAAAGTAAAATCTCAAAAAATAAAAACCCTAAGGGTAACAGACTATAGATCTCAGGTAAAGATTACCAACTAAATGACTTTTAGAGAAATATTGATGCCATTGGTTCAGCTCTATGCAATCAAAATAATATTTAAAAAATTCTATCTAGAAAATAGGAAATTATGGTATAACCATACCTTTCTCCTTGAAGAGTATCAAATACCATTAAGAAAAAGTTCAAATTATTAAAAGCACTGTAAGAATTAAAGCTAACCTAATTTTCAAAGATTACATTATTGAATATATAATCAAATATTTATGATTGGAATTAACTGGATTTGGCTGTGGTCCAGTTTAATTTATAATTACTTTCTGACTCTGGTCTTGCACTCTTACACAGGAGAAAATAGTGAAAGTTGAAGCATGCTATTATTAGCTATTACTGCCATTTTTAGCAAGACATATCCTCTCAGTTTTAAGGAAGTAATCTTTCTGTTACTGTCCTAAAATACTTGACTACCCTATTTTACTAAGTAAACTACTTCAACTACTTCACAAACATTGTCTGCTTTGGGATTCTGTTAGAGAACTGTTGAAAATCAGTGTTCACATTAAGAGGGAATTGCATTCTTGGTATCACATTCCTTCACACTGTTCTCAACTAGAACATTTGATCTTCAGTGTTCAAACTAGAACATTGAATGATTTTTGACAAGTGATTTCTTTAACATTTTCAGCACTTACTAAAAATAATTTAAACATCAAAACTTACTACAACATATTAATCAGATATGTTTAAAAAGAAATTTTTACATACCGGGTTTTTATCAGGATGTAGCTTCAATGCCAATTTCTTGAAAGCCTGTCTTATTTCTCTACTGCTTGCAGTTTTGGATATTCCAAGTAAACTGTAAAAGTCCTGCTCTGTGCCCACTAAAATAGCCATATACACTATTAGAAAACAGAGAATGACTCTTTTCCAGTCTCTGACATGGTCATCTTTATTTAACCAGACTCCCATTCTTTTTCTTATACAAGTTCTTATTTAAGAGAACATTAAGATTCCCTGCTGGTTCAAGTTGACATAATATCCAAGTTTGAGAACGTTGGTCCACATTACTCCAAGCGTGAATCAAGCATCACGAAATTGTCTCAAAATGTTAATCTAAAGAGAGGAAACCAGGTAGTTAATACACATAAAACAAACCAGCAATAACACTACTTATTAAATAATAGAGCCCCAGGCTCTATTCTTTGGTGTCCCCTTCACTGCTTCTATATCCAGGTAGCCGTATTTGTGAGGTATCACTCAAAACAGCAGGTAAACGGTAAAAGGTAGAGTGTGGCTGTAACTAGCCAGAACACTTTAAAAATAAACGAACTCAGCAATTTGATCAGCACCAGAACATAAGGGTGGGAAAAAGCTGTTTCCTTCCTTTTTCTGCCCAGCTTAAGCATAGCCCTTTGTAATTCCACTTCCTTTTGGGGGTACTTCTTTAAGGCTATCCCGTTTCATTTTAATCAGATTTCATTTGTAGAAATACCTTTTGGGGAGACTAGAGAGAAGCACAGGGTCCTTTTAAGGGTATTTCATATAATCCTTCCAAAAATGGCAGTGGACTTATATTGTTGTAATAGAATACTTACCTAGTAGACCATTTTCCCGAGTCTTTTCGAAGGTGTTTACATCTAAGCAGAGACTATTTTATATAACTAGCAGGATAATAACCGCAAGTTAAAAGTCTAATTTATTGCAGTTTAATTGGTATAAACAGAAACGGAGAAGCGAATCATTTACACGTGGTCACCTTTGTAGGGTAAGTAAACAATCTCCACTTTATCAGATCACATTTAAACCTGCACACTCTAGTTCTGAAGATCGCATAGTGCCTTGAAAAATGTAACCTTCCTCGCATGCTCAGTTTCTCCTTTCTTCATTTAATCCTAAATGTCTACTTTTAAGATTTTTCTCCTTACCTGTGAATGATTTTGGGCTCTTTTCTAATCCCTTTTCATGCCACCAAAAAACACCTTTCTAAAATATAGTGATGGAGATTAAGTATCCAGACTAGCAACAATAATTAGAAAAATAAAACTGAGAATGTATCTTCAAACACCACTTTGGGCCAAGTGCGGTCCCTGTCTAGAGGCGGTTCTCAGTCAGCGTGGGTGTGGCTGACGTGCTCTGCGCGGAGCTGAGGGGACAGGTGAGCGCTGAAGGTGGATGCAGTGCGAACGCCTTGCTGCCATCAGAACGGGATGCGGGGACAGGGGAAAGATGAAGACACGGGACGAAAGAGACTGTTCAGTGCTGCCGGCATGTGTGCAGTCTCAGCCGCACTAACGGAGAAAGGACACCGAGCAGCCGAGGCTAAAGTGAAAAGCTGGCGCGAGACGCGGGGAACCGCTGAGCCGGGTGAGGGTGGTGGAGGTAACAGAAAGGAAGAGCGAGAACCCAGTAAGCCAGCCGCCGGAGCTGGGGCGCCCAGCAATGTCGCCCCTCCCTGCCTGGAGGGCCCAGGCCGCCGCCGGCTCCGGCAGAGCCCCGGCCCCCGGCCCATGCCCACCTTGGTGTGGCGGGGTCGCCTTCTGCAGCTACTCCCCCATCCTCAGTCCCCGGCGGCGGACACTGCCCGGCCGAACGCAGGCTGTGCGCGCGGGAAGGAAGTACGCACTTTCCGCCGCCGGGTCGCCGCGCTCGGGACGGGGAAACGCTAGCCGCACGGGCGGCGAGGACCCCGGGAAGCTCCGGACGGCTGCTCGTGCGCGGGGCTCCGCGGAGGGCCGGGGCGGGGCCTGGCGCGGGGCATTATGGGAAAGAAGGCGTGGGCCGGGCAGCCGGAACGCGCGCCGCAGTTCTGGAGGCGCGGTGCTGCAGGGTGCGGACGGTGGCGTTGGTTTAGGTTTACGTGGCTGTTCGCGTGAAATCCGGCTCCGGCTCCGGCTCCGGCTCCGGCTGCAACCCGAAGCTGAGGGACACGCCGAACCCGTGAAGCTCGCTTCCCGGCACACGCAGCGGGCGGACGCAGGGCGGCTAAGCCCACCCTTTCCTGCTTCCGTTGTTATGGTGACGGGGAAACCTAGAGGGCGGGTTTAGGCGTGAGTTTCCCGGTGACCCTGTTCTTAAAGGGAGTGCCGGATTATTGAGGACTTTTGCAGGTTGGTGGGCATGTGGGCAAAAAGGGGAAAATTTGCGTTAAAAGGGATACTTGGCTGAAGTGACATTGATTACAGTGTCAGAAGAGGAAGTTGGAAACTTGAGAGAAATAAAAGTATTTGTGTGTGTGTGAACAAATTTGAGCATTCTACAGTACTGCCCGGGTCCTAGTTATTCAGTCTAGAAACTGGGGAGTTATCCACTCTTTATATCTAAATGCTCTCGTACAGTAACTGCATTTTTGATCTTCAGCAACATAACCAGAACAATTGACCTAGCTACATTTGCAACCATCCAATTAGAAAACAATGAAGACGATGTCTACTGATGACATCAACCCTAATATGAAATAAGATGTAATTGGTAACAAATCAAATATCAGCTTGTAAAAAAATTGATGACCATACAGGACCCATAGGTAAACCAGCATACTGCAGAAAAGAAGGGGAAGTAACATAAACAATGGCAGAAATATTAGAAGCAGCCTGATACAATAGTAGTTAACATGTGCCAGGAACTGGTCTAAGCACACATTTATTAACTCAGTCCTCCAAACAATCTTAAATAATGGTGACTACGATTCTACCCATTTCATGGTAAATACGTGATAGAGCTGTGATTCACACCTAAGCAGACTGACTCCAGAGACTGTGACGTTATCATGATGCTACACTGTGTGAGCCAACAAAATACTTAGAGAAAATTGAAAAGCAAAGCAGAAAACTGGAGAATCAAGCAGCGACCAGATCACTGTTTTATGTCATGATGAAGACGCATTTTTTTTAGGTGGTGAGGAAACTACTTAAAACTTTTAAGTAAGGGACTGAGATTGTGTTTTAGATTATTCTGGTGGCTACTGGAGACTGAATACAAAGGGAACAAGATGAGAAAGGGAGAGCAGTTGGGAAAGTGTTAGAGAAAGAGTTTGGCAAGATATGGTGATTGGTTGGACATGGGAGATAAATGAGAGGAAGGATCAAAGGTTGACTTCTGACTTAGGTAGCTGAGTACCATCCACTGAATGACGATGTCTGGGCAAAAGATAAAGGGTTCTGACTTGGATATATCTATTTCAAGGTTCCTGGGTTATATCCAAATAAAGATAACCAGTATGAAGCTCATGGGAAATGGTTAGACTGGAGGAAGAAAGGGAATAATCATGAAATCTGTGTAACTGGTCCCATGAATATGAATAAGATTACCCAGAGAAAGTGTGCAAAATAAGGAAAGTGGTGGACCAAGGATAAAATCTTGGGTCATTCTAATACCAACAATGTTGCACAAAGGAGAACAACAAATGAAAGGGCAACCTATGGAACGGGAGGAAATATTTGCAAATCATCTGATAAGAGGTCAATATCCAAAATATATAAAAAACTCATACAATTCAGCAGCAAAACAAGAAAAGAAAAACAGGAACCGCCAGAACTATGAACAAGCAGTCGGAACACTGGGATGTTTGGTGAGAAGCAGCATTTATTACTGCCAGCACTGGCTCAGCGGATTCCTATCCAAAGGCTGAGCCCTGAGTGCAGCAGGGCCATGCCTTTTATACATTCACTACAAGGTTAGGGGGGAGTCAGCGCCCAGAAACCATTGCAGTAGCAGCTATTAAGTCACTATATGTGTGTTAAGGATGCTAGTTATATTTTAATCTTCTGTAAAGGTTACCTGGATACCCTATTATAAACTAACGGGCCTCTATGACTGTGATCAACAAACTGTTTCATACCACTGAGTCCTGGTGGCGGAAATGCACTGTTACATTCTTCAGTCTCTAGCACCCAAGCATCTTGTGATTCCTCTACATTCCTGAAGCCTCTACAGAAACTCTGTCTCTTTGGCTTCCTACCACAATACATTTGTTTGAGGAATTGATTATGTCCTCCACTATCCTACTTAAGGCAGAGTCATGTCTTTGCTTACCACAGTATCTGAAGGACTTAGCCCAGTGGACAACGGTTTGTTGAATAAATGAACTATTTGATCAATCCATCCACCTGTGCCCCTGACTCTGTCCTCTCTCCTATATCTGCAACCTCCCTCTCTTTTGTCTCCTAATCAGCTTCTCAGCAAGTTCTCGTCCTTCCAAGCCTAAACCATTTCCTCTCAAATCAACATCCTTCTCAAGATGCAGGAGAGTTTCTGGACTTCTCTTCTCTCCAAACTTTCAACAGAGTCCTGTATCCTTGCTATTTCCATGTCCTCAGCTCCCACTAAATTAGTTTCAGATATACAACATAATGATTTGGTATGTCTCTATATTGTAAAATGATCACCACAATAAGTCTAGCTAATATCTGTCCTCTTATAGAATTTTTTTTCTTCTAATGAGAACTTTAAAGATTCACTCTCTTAGCAACTTTCAAATATATAATTACAGTGTCATTAACTATAGTCACCATGCCATACATTTTATCCTCAGGACTTATTTATTTTATAATTAGAAGTTTTTACCTCTTAATCCTCTTCACTCATTTCGCCCACCCCACACCCCTGTCTCTGGCAGACACCAGTCTGTTCTCAATATCTAAGAGTATGGGGTTTAGATTTTGTTTTAGATTCCATACGTAAGTGCGATCATACAGTATTTGTCTTTCCCTGTCTGATTTTGTCTGGCAAGGAATTATGTAATGTTTTAGGCAGAGGGAACAGTGAGTACACAGGCTTTGTATTTCAAAGAACATGGGTTGCTTGAGGAAGTAAACGAACATCAAGAACATCAATTCAATGAGCTTAAAAAAGAGAGTCAACAAGGTGAGACTGGAAAAGTAGACAGGGACAAGATCATGTGAGGTCTTGTAATTCATTTTGAGGACTTTGGTCTTTTTCTTAAGAGCAATGAGAAGTCACAAGTTTTAAGCAGTGAAATGTGATTATTATTATTACTATTTTACTTAAAAAAACTTGGAAACAATCTCAAAATTACAAAAAAGTTGAAAATACAGTTCAAATAACTTTGTTTTCCTCAACCACTTGAGAGTAAGTTGCTGATATGTTTCCCATTAATCCCCAAAACTGTGGTGTGTATTTTCTACAAATAAGGACATTTTCTTACATATCCACAGCACAATCATTAAACTCAGAAAATTAACATTGATATATTATTACCATCTAGTCTCCATCTAATTCTCACATCCCCCAGGTTTGCCAGTTGTCACAATAATGTCTTTGTAGGATCCAGCGTGGAGCTCCTTGTTTCATTTAGTTGTTTTAACTTCTTAGACTCCTTCAGTTTTTCCTTGACTTTCAAGACCTTGATGCTCATGAAGAACACAGACCAGTTATTTGGTAGATATCTACCTTTTTTGGTTTGTCTGATGTTTCCTTACGATTAGGTTTAGTTTGTGCAACTTGATCAGGAATATAACAGAATTGACACTATGTTCTTTTTATTGAATGTTATAGGTGGCCCGAAATTTTGATCTGTCCTATTATGGGTGGTGTTAACTTGAATCACTTGATTAAAGAGGTGTTTGTGAGGTGTCTCCACTATAAAGTTACATTTTTGTCTTTTTGTAATTAAGAAGTGCTTTGTGGGGAGGTATTTCAAAATTCTATGAGTACCCTGTTCTTCATCAAGCTTTCATTTTATTGATAATTTATTATGGATTCACGGATTCCTATTTTATTTGAGGGGTTAAAATCCATTACTGTCATTTATATATATATGCTTATTTGTTCTATCTTTGACCGTTTGGAATTCTTTCAAGCTGGCTCCTGTGTCCTTTTGAT